GGGAGAGAGAGAGATAGGTACTGCAAAAGTCAAAGTTTAGCCTAATAACGGCAAATGACTAAATATTTGCCGATATAGGTTGTATCTGCATATTAGGTTCCGACATAGTATCCTGGAAAAATGACGAGTGCCATTTTGCTACGATCTATATGCATGACAGATCTTCAGCTAGTATTAAATACACGTTTCTTTAACGATTCAGCTTACTAAAAATCCCCCTATAAGTTACGACTGCATACTAAGTCAACAGTTCCTACATACCCGTACTGCCACTTACTGGCTTTAGCAAGCATGATTATTAGCACTGGCACTTCTAGCATAGTCATAGCACTTCTAACAGTAGTATCTTGGCCCTAGTAGTTTAAAATTAAGGAAACAGCAGGGGCAAACACTGATGCGCTCCGAGCCATAAACACCTACTCTACTCAGACGAGCAGAAATCCAGGGCCCCACTCCTAGTTGAGATCGAGGAAGCACGGGTCCAGATCTGACTCCAATCAGTATCATTTCCGACCAATTATTAGTGTCGGTAATAGTACCAGCACTACAATTGTTCAGATACACCGCTGGGAGAATCAGTATAAACAGCAGTTGCAGTAGTAGAAATACGAGACTCAGGTTCCTCTAATCTTTTTGGGCACCCACTATAGGCAAGTGAGTGTAGATAGCGCAGTAGTACCGGCGCAAAAGGCTACTGTCACTTGAAACTAAGTTAGGTGGTGTTTCTGGCCGCACTGGACAAAGCGACTTACGCCGAATTCCTGCTCGGTAATCTCGACTTTGTCTTGTCATCGGTTCAAGCAAGGAGAGGGGTTAAAGTAAGGTATACGGCTGCTCGTCTACTTTCACTTTACCTGACTACAGTCACAGTCCCTGCTCTTGGGCATATGGTGGACATCATCGATTTCGATAGTCGAATTAACACAATTACGAGCCGTTGTCAGTCGTATTTCTTGTGTAGTGAGCTTTCTAAGAGACCAGCAACTCGTGACGTTGGAAGTCCGTACAAATCCTGTAGAATAGTCCGCTTTTGGGCAGGGACAAAAGTTCAAAGGAAGAATTAAAGACCGCTTGGTAGGCACAACAGATAAGTGACCGAAAGGCGTGTGACAGAAGGACGAATATACGCTATCGACCGAAAAAAAAACAACTCAAGATTACAGAAAGTATACAAACGCGAGAGATTTAAAAAGGAGACCTAGCTGAAATAGCGGTGCTCGCTTTGAGTTTGTTGTGGTTCCATATTGCGATCAGTGTTTCATGACTCAATTCCACATTTAGGCATTTAGTCACGCAGATTCTCATGGAGTGTCCAACAGCTTGGACGCCATTATCACACGTGACGAAAGTTCAATGTGGGGAAACAGAACAAGACATTAAAGCAGCTGCGTAGGAGCCTAAAAGGACTTCTGTACAGGGACGACGAGAACTCTGAGGGACGCGGCCTGCTCATCAAACCACTTTCGGGCTACCACGAGCGTCCACTGTCTGAGACCAGTGAAAGTGAGAAATAAATGGGCTCAGGAGTCTAGCAAACAAGCAGTCATAGAGTAATTTGCACAGGTAATACGCTCAGGCCCAGTAGATCAGTTACCTATAAAAGCCAGCATGTTATAATGGTATCACGACATGTTTTTCGTCATCAAACAAAGCACCGTTAAATGCTGTTCGGTGAAACTCGAAACCGCAAAGTGATGAATGCGTCCCCGTTAGGGTCCGCGAAGTGTGGGAAAATCAATTTTTAAAGCTACCCCACACGATAGCTGTTCGGCGATTTAGGGCTAAAGCGGATTTATGGTCGCCAGAAGTACTATGGTCTACACGGGCTAGCCCAACTCAAGGCGTTGAAAGTGGTTTTTTTTCAGACTTGAAAAAATATAAACAGAGAGGCAATTAAATCAGATAAGGTGGACAGCCAGAGAACAGACCACAGGCTTACCCAGGGAGTCAACGCCGACAACGACTGCATCAAAAACTCGTCGAAGGACGGTGGCATCGAGTGAACTGAGAAGCACCATGTGGTCTTGGGTGAGACACTCAAGCAAGGAGAAGTAAGCCCTAGCCAATTTGGTGTAGCTCTATGGAGGAACAAAGAAGCAAATTACACAGAGAACACAAAAGAAGGAGGACGGAGACAAAATGCTCAGTCAGAGACTTACACGAAGCTCTTCATCAGAAACACACATCAGCAACTGGGCTCCCAATTCGATGGCTTTCTCGAAGGATTCATCACCAACAAGTCCGAAAATGGCGAAGTTCGCAAAGTTTCCGGCTACCGTTGTCCTCAGGGCATTTATGAGCCGGGTGAGGGGTTTAATCTTGTGCGAAAAGATACTCTCCTTTGGCACTTGTGCAAAGTACGGGAGGAGTTGGGAACCTTAAGGGAGTGAGAGAGGATAACACCTGCTTAAAGGACAGGGTCACGCCGTTTTGGAAAGCTAGTACAGCGACAAGGGCATAAGTCCCTAACAAGGGCCTCCGGTGTGGTAATATATAAAGTGAGAAAATTGACAAGAAATAAAAATTCTCAGCCTGCATTGAATAACCTCTAGACACCGCAGGACCCAAGAAGACGTTGTAGAACAACAAACGAAGCAGAAACAAGTGACAAAAAGGTCTACTCGGGACTGATTTTACAGTTTGGTTAGAATTCCACCTATATCGGACGGCTGACCACACAGTGAGATAAGAACGACATCAGCAAGAAATGGATGCATAAAAACGGATGGTAGAAGTTAACTAAAGCTTGTTTACCAGTGCTACTATACAATACTAATTCAGGACGTCCAGGTGCAAGA